AAACTGAGTTGAAATTACTCTGGGAGTCATGAAGCTGTGGATTAATTTGCATCTTTTTATACCATCAGCTGAGGGTTGAGCTTCGGATCCAAGGTCTGCTAGAATAAAGTCTCTGAAATTAAACTTGTCAACTATCCCTATTTAATCATGTTTGGGAGAATTCATAAATCATTAAAGTCTGAAAACTAAAAACCTTAATTGTTTCACTAGTCAGTTGGAGAATTTACAAAATGTAATTAATCTTAAACCTCCTCCTAATGGCTCGGTTTCCCCGAACAGCAATAGTCTTTAGAGGAAGACGCTTGTTTTTTTGTCACAACTGGTTTTTCCACTGGTTATTGGCCTCAAAGAAAAAATGATGGCTGTAAACTGAACTAGATTCTGCCAAGTCATACGAGGAAGAACGGTCAGTGATCTCTGTTGGTAAAACCTCCCACCACCATCTCAGAGGTTTCCTCCCAGTCATTAGTGTGCTATAAAATGATGTGGGTGTGATGCGGGCTCAGACTGCAGCTCTCACCATGGACAGGGCGGTCTGGGTCTGCTGCAGCAGAGGTTCAGGCAGCAGAGAGATGTGGACACATTCAGGGATGGTGACGGTGCCTCCATCAAGGTCAGCGATGATCACGTCCAACTGAAATCACACACACACTTTTACATCACTGTACAGGTGGAGCAGCATTAGATGATGAATCTGAACAGACGACAATAAGTGAAGAAAAAGAAAGCTTTTCCTGTTAGCAGATTTCTAATATAAGATGCTGAGAGGACGTCTGCAGAGCAGACAGCCTCCGACCACGATAGCAGTAACGGGAGAAATCTCACCGAGATGAGGAATCTAACATCCAAACATCTTTCATATAAACATATTTTAATAATGAATGCTTAAAGTGAACATGTGTAGGATCCCATGTCCCCCTGAACAATTTAATGTACCATAAATAATGAAACGCAGAACAAAATAAATGTAAAAAAAACCCCAATGATAAACCATAATTTAACGGTACATAATTCAATGTACCATTAAATGATGAAATATACAATTAAACATTTAGTTATATATTTAAAATGGCAATATCAATATAAATGTTAACATTTTTGTTAGTTAGGTTTTTTCCCCTAAGCTGTCCATATAATGACAGAAGATTAATCTAATTTTCCCTTATGGTGGATATCATGTTAAGCTGGTCTGAGCTGTCAGCTGACACACATTAAACACAGGAATCATGTAGATTCAGTCTTTCTAGAATGTTAAGAACCTCTTTTTACTACAATTCTAACAGGATTCAAACTAAAGATTAAAATCAAAGAGAACTGCAACGCTGGAAACATTTAATCAGGAGCAAACTTCTAAAAACTTTGACGCTGATCATTAAAAAATGACTCTTTAGGATGTATATCCTTTGGAGAGTGTGATGTAATCCTCTTAATAGATTAAACTTCAAAGATAAAAACACAAATGTTTCCCTAGAGTTGAAAGGGACATATAAAGATTGACGTTTGGATGAACAAATACAGAGAATTATACCTGCTGCAAAAATCCAAAAACAGGTTTCAGAACTACGGAAGAGTTTTACTGCACTATGCAGAAGCTTTGTCTGTTCCAACGAAGATTAACACTTTTTAGATTTAAACAACTTTGGGATATTTGTATTAAGCATGTTGATGAGTGAAATTTCAGCGTAGGGTGATCAGCGATCAGCATTGGGAAAAGAGACTGATGCAAGTCAGGTTTAAATGTTGTTTAGATATTCAATTTATAAAATGATCAGACTTTTTTCTAAAGCAAAAATACAGATAAAAAAAAATGTAAATTTGATCTGCACCTACATAACTTTAGTTTTTAACTCTTTCAGTGTCCTTTAGAGCAGCCATGTCTCTTAGGTTTCAGTGATAAAACTCACCAGTTCTTGTGTCTCTGAACGGAAGAATGAATTCACTCCGATAATGAAGGGGGTGGGGGTGCTCAGGACCTCCAGGAGCTTCCCAGGTAGAATTGGAACATAGGTAAAACTAGAAGAGAAGAAAAACAGCTGCAATGTTCAGGCAGAGTGACGGTTAAAGGCTGGAATATGTTCTTGCCATCAGCAACACCCCTAAAAAACCTCAACACTTTCTTTTAATTTGAAAAACAATGATCAGATACAAGAGTTTTCTTAAACAGAGTTAATTCTTAAAATAAAAGGATTATTCTAAATATAAACTTAATGAAAACTTCCACTTGATATGGAGAAAAATCTGCATAACAGAGGTAAAACTTTGTGAACGAGGTTAAATATTTACGCCCTAAGAAATCTAAATGTGCAATTGTGCTCAGAGAAAGTGAGATTAAAGTAAATCAGCTCTCAATGCTGAATAATGATTTATCATAATTCCATGATTTGTTTTAAAAGAATCATTGGGGTCTTTTTATCAGCAATGCTCAACAGAAAACACAAGTTCAAACTAAAATACATCTCTACCACTGTAAGTATGATACAGCAAAAAACGAAGAAAAAAAAAAAAAAAAAACACATCCACAGCATTAAAAACTGATTAAATGGATCAAACAGAGAATAGAGAATCATTTAGGTCATAGTCATTCCAAAAAAGTTAAAAAACAATCCACTGGACTTTGTTTCTAACTTTGAAGACGTTTCTCTTCCATCCAGGAAGGTCTTTCCATTCAAAATGTCAGAAATAGCGTTGAGTTCCAGGTTTTATCCAGCAGCCCAATAAAACCTTGTTTTTGTTTAGAAAACATGCAAATAGAAATAAACAAACAGGTCCACCCCTTAGGAATGGGGGTCATTTGGCTTCTTTTGTTAGCCTGCAATGCCCCATACCTGTCTATGTCTCTGAAAGGGAAAGTTAGAGGGAATAGTTGGCCTTGCTGAAGAGGCGAGGTCTTCTGCTCTCCTGTAAAGGAGTTGGGGCTGCGATGATAGCGGGAAGGAATCAACTCTATCGCTGCATTAAAGGTTTTTGAAAGCTGAAATCTGCCCCCCCCCTCCTCTGTTTAAGGTTGGTTTTTCTTTCCTAACATAAATGGCTTCCTTCACATCTCTCTCAAACCACCTGTCTTCTTTGTCCAAAATGAACATCCTTGTCCTCCAAAGAATGTCCTTTGTCCATAAGGCGTAAATGTAGCGCAGACTTGTCCAGAGGAGGGCGCTCTCCTGCATTGGGCCATGCATCTGTGGAGAGGTTGTTTGGTTTCTCTACTATAAAGATCAGAGCATTCCTCACTGCATTGAACTGCAGACACCACTGCGCTCAGATGTGGTCTGGGGGTTTGGTCCTTAGGATGCACTAGCCTCTGTCTAAGGGTCCTGTTTGGTTTGAAATGTTCTGGGATTTTGCCTTTGGAGAAAATACTCTTGAGTTTTTCTAAGACTCCAGCATCATATGGAATGCCGATGTTTTTTAATTTTCCAACCATTATGTTCTGCTGCGCGTCTTTGGGATTTCCTTGCTGATTTGACAAATGCCCAGTTTGGGTCTCCAGAGGTTTGGAGAGCATCTTTGATGTTCTTTCTGCTTTCCTTTCTGTTTTAGTCGTAGTGACATGCTTGGCTTGCTTCTCCCCTGCACTATCCTAATGTGGAGTTGTAAGGTTCAGATGATGATTGTGTTCCAGTGGGTGTTGTAAGTCAAAACATAGATATTGGTCAGTGTGAGTGGGTTTCCTATACACTTCAATGCTGAGGTTTCCATCTCCTTCCACGCTCACCAACAGTGCATGGAAGGTAGCTTGTTGCTGTTGGCATCCTCCCTGGTGAACTTGATGTTGGAGAAGAGAAAAGTCTTCAAACTTTGAAACAAAGTCCAGTGGATTGTTTTTTTTTTTTTAACTTTTTTTTGGAATGACTATGACCTGGATGACTGAGAATGTTCACCAGCATACTTCATTTACTTCCTAGCCATGCTTGTTCATAGTCTCCAATAACTCCCATGTACTCCACATTAGGATAGCGCAGGGGAGAAGCAACTTGTTATATTTAGAGAGAAACACCGTACTTTTAGAAGTAGCTGTAGTTTTAACTTCTAAAAGGGTTTGGAAAAATGCAGACATCGTCACTGAAATGTGAGGTTTAAGCTGAGTTTGACGGGGTTGTTTTTGAAAAACAAGTGCAGCCTAAGCTCTTATGGGAATCTATTATGATCTTATGATCTGTTATGATGTCATCAGAATAGTATTACCCTTCCCTCCCACCCATATTTTACCCTTTGCTTTTAGCCTCTTTCTACTTCTGGGGAGAAAGTTACTGACTCTGTACATTTCAATGTTAGTGTACACAGGAGCGTAGATAGTGGGAGCATGTAATGCAGCAGTGGCTTTAGGAAGTGAGAGGACACCTGTATTTGAGCGGGAACATGATGGCTAGCAGCCCTCGGCAGGCGTCCGTTAGCCTCTGGTAGCTGCTGGACAGAAACAGGATTTTGTGCTCCGTCAACGCGGCACAAAACAGATACAACACGTTGACTATACCTGAGGGAAAAACAAAGAAAAGGTCATGATAGGAGAAAAAATAGAATTTACAAACCAGATAGAAACTTCAAGTGATCAAACTAATTAACTGAGAGCACTACGATAAAGAAAACTGTTGTATTTAAATCACTTTCAAACCAAAAATCATTTGGGTTACAGTTTTTCCTAGTTACTGTGATTTCTCCTGTGCTTTAGAAGATTCTGAAATGTTGATAAAACACAGAGGAGGCGGTTTAATGGAACTCACGTCAAGGATTATGAGTAATCTTTGGAAGACTGGTTAAATGAAACAAGCTGTGATATTTTCCTCTTTCTGCTGTGGAAAGAAGTCCCGCCACACTACAAAAATGTAAATCTAAGAAAGCCAATTGTTCTTAAATTTAGTGCATTTTCTCTTTAATTAAGCAGGTAAATGAGACACACTGCCAAAGGAACAAGACGACTAACATGTAAAAAAGAAAAATAGAACTGCAGATTCTTATTTCAGCTGCATAATATCTAATCATCTTATTGTAAGGGTAAAAATATTAATTCAATTGGCAGATAATCTTATTTTCCTACTCAATTTAAGGGTAAATTCATTTAATTTTAAGACATTTTACTAATTTTCAGAACTGTTTTGCTCCTAGGAGTGAAGCTGACAGACAATATAAAACTAAAATCAGCTGATTAAACCAATCCGGTCGTCAGGATTCTGACGCGATTGTTTTGAAAGATGAAGATGGCTCTTGAGGACAGACTGAGGATCACAGCTGATCTGGTGGACTGATGCTGGTTGCTAAGGAACACTGAGATGATGCAACTCAATGGCACCAAGCCCAATATTTTCTAGACATATTATAAACTATATATGTAGGGCTGCAACCACTGATATTTTGCAAATCAATTAATTTGTCAATTACTTTTTTTTATTAACTGATAAATAACTGGATAGCCAACGGTTCCTTTAAGGAGACTTTACGGCCGTTCCAACCGTTGCATTTCTGAATTCTCCTGAGTGGTGCCCGACTTTACACGAGTGAATAAAGTGAATATGGTCGTTTATCAAGGGGGCGGGATTGTTGTGGCTTGATTGTTCGCAAGCACGTTTGGTTGTGGTGTTTTTTTTTCCAGAAGCATCTTGCAAACCAGTTAGCATCTTAGTGCTAGTAGGTTCCCAATGGGAAATTCCATTGGGACCAAGTAGCACTAAATTGGTGACTTAGAAACGACACTGTCAAGGAACGCTATGGACAGAGGAAACATGCAAGAGGAGGAGAGTTTAGTGTCGGAGGTCGTGGATGAGTCTCCTCCATCCTGTGTTTTTTATTTAGAGGAGGAAAGCGGGGACGAAGATGTTGTGGAAGAGGACGCCAGGGCGGCAGAAGCTTGGTTTGGTGTAGATGTGTACATGTTTGAGCCCTTTCCTCGCAACGCTGCCAGTTCTGTTAGTTATCTATGTAGGTTTCTATTAACCAATAAGCTTTAAAGCAGAGGCCTTTAAAGGGTTTATAAAACATAAAAAGTCCACCTGTGTTCAGCTGTTGGTCTGCTTTATAAAACACCCAAACTACATTTACTTATGTGAGAAGATTTCATACCGAGCTGCCTAAAGAGCTGGGCCACGCTGCTGCCGCTGACAGGAAGGGCGTCATTGATGGGCGTCTGGATAACTTGCCGGTCTCCAGCACCTAATGTTATCGTCCTCTACAGACAAAGAAAGAGGAGAGGAAACAGGATTAAAACAGTAAAAAGACCAAACAAATGTGGTTGGGTTTAATCGGAATGCAGCTAGAAAATGGCGTGAGTTCGGGGACAGAGATAGAGAATCACCGAAGCTTAGCAGGTAGATGGAAATAAAACCAAAGCCATTCCAGCTGATCAGTGAATTAGGCTGCAGAAGTCCTCATGCCAGCGACCTCACAGGAAAAAAACACCAGCAGCAGAACAAAGGCTTTCTGGGACAATGGAAATCCTAAAACATTGCAGATGACATGTGCTGAGAACTTTCTACTGGAGGAAAAGGGACTGATCAGAGTTTCACTCCTCGTCCTCAGGACCCAATGTCCCACATGTTGTGGATGTCCTGTGTGAACTGCATTCACACAGCTTCAGTGTCCCGCATGCACAGTAGAGGCCGTAATGACATCACAAGCCAGCGTGCTCTGTGTTCATGGAAGTAAACATGGATGGTAGTGCTTGAGTGCATCTAGCCATCTTTCCCAACCTTAAATGCACAATCCTTCCATGATGGTTGAAAATAAAGACTGCTCTCTGCATAAACGTCCGCCATGGTTGTTGGTTTGTCTTGACGCTTCTGCGTAGCGAGACCCAGAATAGTGACCTTTGTCGGGTATTAATGGTGTACAGGTCGGATGAATGCGACCTGGCTGTTCAGCCACAAATCGCATTAGAAACGATCAGATTCGTATCGGATTCAGAACCACAGACCCAAGTGGCCTGGGCCACATTGGAAAAAAATCGGATCTGTGTTGTTCAGACTGTCATAAAAAGATGATGCAGATTGCATATAGGCAAATAAATCGGATTTGGTTGACTTCAGGCTGCTGTGTGAACGCAGCCTAAGTTTTCCCTGAATCTGGTGCGAATCTGATCTTTTCAAATCCTAACTGTGTGTGAACGGCCAGGTCATCTTAATCCGACCTCTATGCCGTTAACACCCGACAAAGGTCACTATTATGCGTCTTGCTACGCAGAAGCAGCAACAGAATCCAACAACCATGATGGACGATTATGCGTAGGGCAGTACTTATATTGTAAAGATTGTGCTTTTAGGGTTGGGAAAGATCGCTAGATGCAGTCCAGCGCTACCATCCATATTTACTTCCATAAACACAGAGCAAATTGGCTTGTGACGTCATTACGTCCTCTACTGCGCATGCCGGACACTTGCTTTGTATAAATGCAGCTCACACAGAAGATCACATACAATTTGCATACATTTAGAAATGTGTAAAGCACGCAAGAAAATAAATCAGATTTCACAAAAACATCGGAATTGAGAATTAAGGTCTGCAGTGTGGACATAAATGATTCAGGATGGAGAATCAGTGACAGAAGGAGTTACCCATCAGAGCGAGACAGAACTTCATTCATTCATTCATTCATTCATTCATTCATTCATTCATTCATTCATTCATTCATTCATCCATCCATCACAGGAGGCTCTCCAGAAAACACCTCATGCACTTTAGCTGTGATCATTAGGAGGGTCAGACCAGCCATTCAGTCCTGTGAGCCAACATCTGATCATCAGGAGCCGTTTATTGCTGCATTGCTTTACGTAAATAGCAATAGTCAACGAGCTGACTTGCAGAGAATGGAGAGGTTTGAACTTTATATTGTAGAAACACCTCAGCTGTGAGAACTAGAACCTGTTTGTAGACGTATGTATAAAGGTCTGTCTATGCATATATATATATATATATATATATATATATATATATATATATATATATATATATATATATATAAAAATGCATCTATAATACCCAGAGGTGTCACATAACAAGGTACATCGTTCCTTTACTTAAGTAGAAATTCTGGCTATCTATACTTCACTGGAGTAACGTTTTTTTTTTTTACTTTTTACTTCTACATTTCACTCCTCCTTACATTTAAAAGATAGACTAAGTAGTTTTGTTTCATTTTGAGCTACTTTTCATTATTTCATTTCATTAGACTGTTTTCTGAACATTCTGGTCGAGTCTAGGGGGCAACGACTGCAAGCTTCCAACATCAGACTACATATAGAAGACACCACTTTTTGCATCATGCTTCTCCACATCTCCCAAGAGGGACTATTTACTTGTTCATGGTCCGATGATGGTGGTAATATTTTTAAAACATATATACAGTAGCAGCCAATTCAAAACATCCTTCCTAGTCAAAACTCCAGCCGAATGGCAGCCTCCTAAACTGAGTTATTGAAAGAAATGTATGGATCCCATCTGCCTAGGCCCACTGATCTGCGTATTAGTTTTAGTTGTTTCTGATAAAAAGGAGTCCTCTTCTACAGTATCAGTATTTTAAACAGCTATGATGTAAAACCAAACCCTAATTATTTCATCTCCACATTAAAAACAGATCTAGGATCAGTTGTTAAGCTCGTGCTCTTCCTGAAGGTATGATCAGGTGTTGTTCACAGACAAAGCATCTCAATTAGTCCTCCCGTAGCAGCTGAAAGGAGAAGGTGGGAAAATAAAAAGAAGCTGATTGATAAAGAGAGGGTGTGGATTTGAAGTCAGGCCGGCGTACCAAACTGTCCTCACTCTGGTCTGGACCCGGCTGCACCAGCATTCAATACAAACACATCAGGATAAGGCATGTTAGAGAAGACTGCACGGGATAGCAGGTATCAGCATGGCAACACATCAACATTAAACCACTTAACATGGGCAAAAATCGACACGCATGCAAAACTAATGTTTGGCATTTTGGCAGCACAAAAAATGGGAATATGGTCAGCTTTACTTCCTCTAAACACAAACAGTGAAGTCAGGATGTAATGAATTATCTTTTTACAAAATTAAAGCAATAATCATTTGAAAACATTTCAGATTTTCTAGAGTTATTTATGCAACCAGAAAACAAAAAAGGTTTCCAAGTTTTGCGTCCCGCTGAGAGCAGATGACCTCCAGTACAATGACCTCCTGCTTCGTTGAAGCGGTGAGTCAGAGCAGGAGGCAAACGTCGGTCAAAGGTTTGTATCAGTTCTGGTAAATAGGCTGCTGACCTCTCTCCAGAGAACAAACTGGGAAACCTCTCAAACTCTTTGCCATCTGTAGCCCAGTCACCCAGATGTCAGTCCCTCCTCAATGAATAGTTAAACCTGGGCATACACTGTGTGATATTTTCAATCGTTGCATGCAGCTGCAGCTCAAACTGTACGACGAATCGGGAGGGTTTGAAAGTTCACAGCTTCCAATGTCTGTTCTTAAACTTTACGGCCCGAAGCTCTAATGCGATCTACCTGCTCACACTGCACATCCAAAAACCACACGTCAGACTGAGCACCGAGAGATGGCGCTGGTCGGACTCCTCAATCTGGAAGGAGAAGAAGAAGAACTCCCTTGTATGCGTATGCGCAGTGCGTGAGGTTCTGATAAATCGGCACTTAGCTCTGCTTCAACAGCAGGATTTGCCCAACATCACTTAACGCCTGCTGACTGAATTTCAAACATCTTTGATTTTCTCCTGACCTTACGATTCCTGATGGGGAGGAGGTCATGAGAGGCTGATCGGCCCTCGTTACCTCCTACAGTCATGGCCAAAAATATTGAAAATGACACAAATATTCTATTTTCACATGATCTGCTGCCCTCTGGTTTTCATGTGTGTGTGTCAGATGTTGTCATTGCATACAGGAATACAATTGCAATCATATTATTAGTAACAAAAGCTTTTAATGACAGTTAGAATGAGTTAATGCAGCAAGTCAATATTGGCAGTGTTGACCCCTCTTCTTCAGGACCTCTGCAATTCTCCCTGTCATGCTCTCAATCAACTTCTGGACCAAATCCTGACTAATAGCAGTCCATTCTTGCACAATCAATGCTTAGCATTGTGTCAGAATTCCTAGGTTTTCGTTTGTCCACCCGTCTCTTCATGATTGACCACAAGTTTCCAATAGGATTAAGATCAGGGGTGTTTCCAGGCCATGGACCCAAAATCTCTCTGTTTTGTTCCCTGAGCCAGTTAGATATCAGCTTTGCTTTATGGCAAGGTGCTCCATCATGCTGGAAAAGGCATTGTTCATCTCCAAACTGCTCTTGGACGGTTGGGAGAAGTTGCTCTCGGAGGACATTCTGGTTCCATTCTTTATTCATGGCTGTGTTTTTAGGTCAGACTGTGAGAGAGCAAATATTGACTTTGCAAATTAATTGCTGTTATGCTGATCACTCTTTATAACATTCTGGAATATATGCAAATTGCCGTTATAAAAACTGAAGCAGTAGACTTTGTAAATATTAACATTGGAATCATTCTCCAAACTTTTGGCCATGACTGTATGTACGTGACGCAAGACGCACCATGAGGCTAAAGACCGGTTCGGAAAATTCTTGTAAAACTGGAAAATCAGCCCGAAAAAGGACAAAAGAAATCGTACAGTGTACGCCAGGCTTTACATAAACTTCCACTCATCTGAAAGCCAATAACCTTATAGTGTGAAAACACAAGTTATTTGTTTCATTAAACTTTTTCTTTTTTTAAAGTTCCTACTTTCCTGTAAGTCTTACAGTGAGCTAATTGGCCTCTAATATGGACTCATCTTAGAAAGTTCACATTTTAAACTTTCTTAACAGCAATAAAAGTCTGAAAAGGCCTGAAGACATTATAAAGCCTACATGTTTGAAGACTGGAGAGAAGTAGGGCGCTGTAAAGCAGCTTCATCATGAAAACATTGACTTCATGATGACAGAAAATTCTGCCGAAGTCAAAGCATGTGCAGAAATAAGCCTCTCAGGTGTGGAGAATTCTCCTAAGTCTCCGACCAATTAAGTCACTAAATGATAAACGCACGGACAACGCTTGATTGGATGCCATTTTTATTGGCCTTTGTAGATTCACAATAAAAACACAAAAAACATTTTACAGGTTTTATCTACAGCAGGAGTCTGCAACCTTTCATAATCACAGAGCCATTTTGCCCCGAGTCTGACCAAGTAAATGTTGACTAGAGCCGC